ACGTGCCGGCCACGTATGCACCGTATCGGTTAACATCTTACTACTGTACTTGGCGAGGCCTCTGGCGCCCACCTAGTACAGTAGCGCCACTTGGCAATTGTACCACAACCGCACCGATTGGACAAAATACTTACAGCACTCAAGCAAAGGGGATGCAAGCCCAAGCTGTTACACACGGACAACGCTAAAGAATATATATCCAAATATGCGACCAGAATGTATCGCTCACAAAATGTAATGCACAGCACTACAGTCCCGCACACACCCCAACAGAACGGCATACCAGAAAGGATCATCGGAACCCTGATCAATTCTGCAAGAGCAGCGCTGCACCACAGTGGTCTACCCAAAACTCACTGGGAAGACGCCGTCAGAGACGCAGCGTTCAAGTGTAATAAGATACTACACATCTCCACCAACTCCCTGCCATACACAACGTGGACTAACACCACCCCCAGAGTCCCTCAATTTCTCCTATTCGGGCAACTAGGGACAATCCCCGAACTGGCTAACAGGAAATAAATATCCAAACTCGCCCCAAGAGCCACCCCCGCGAGATACTTACATGCGATAGATGAGCACCACATCATGGTACTCGAAACAAAAACCAACAAGCCTCGAAGAGTGCGCTGTGTCAACTTCCAACCCTACCACAGAGTCACTGACCCGGCAGCGTCATGCACACACGCGAAGAAGGTGGTTACACCACACCGCACACCCACACGAGTGATACGCACAACACCAGCCCGGCTAGCACAACCCAAGCCAAAAAATATCCCGACGCAGCCGAGTGGGAAAAGGCATACAACGAGGAATTGGAAAATCTCGACTTAATGAACGTTGTACAGTGCACACCAGATGCCAACCTCCCCAAAAAAAAGAAAATTCATACCTCTAAAAATGGGATACCGATACAAGAGGAATAGCGCAGGAGAAATAGCATCGAGAAAAGCGCGCTGCTCAGCACGCGGAGACAAGATGGTTCCACACAAGCACTTTGACCCTGCCAAAACGACAACTTACATGGCGGATAAAACAAGTGTAAGGACACTGTTCGGCATAGCAGCAACACACCGCATGCACATAGAGCACATTGATATTACGTCAGCATATCTACATGAGAAATTCGCACACAACGGCAGCGAAAAAGTGAACGTGAAACAACCACCCCGTTTCAACGGCACATACAAGCACCCATGCGAAGGAGGCAAGTTGAACATGAACATCTATGGGACGCCCTCTGCAGGACACACCTACCTGACAGCAGTATCCGCCCTACTACGCAAAAGCAAGTTCTAACAAAGCGAAGCTGACCTCTGCCTTTGGTCAAAAAATATTGGAAAGGACCTCATCATGGCCGCAGTAAGCATGGATGATTTTACTGTAGTCGCGTCAAAAGCTGAGCTCAAGGAGTAGTTCGCAAAAGCATTAGCCAAAGCGTACAAAATCAAGCGTCTAGGAGAGCACAAAACATTCCTAGGATGGACTGTACAGCGAAACACAAATGGAGACATCCATGTCTCTCAGCCCAATGCAATCAACTACATAGTTGAACAAGCAGAAGTGGCACAGTGCAACGGCAAGGAAACTCCGTACTGCGACGGAGTAATGCTTCACAAGCCAATAGATACCGATGAGATCCAAATGGAAACCCTCAAAAAATACCAACAATTAATTGGGGACCTTCGATATGTCGCCGACGCCACCCGGCCTGACATTTATCTCCTGACAAACCGACTCGCCGTCGCGGCCAACAAGCCTACACAGAGGCATTGGAGCGCGTTAATGCGACTGATTAGGTACCTAAAACGTACCCCCACGACAGGCCTCACCTTCCGAGCTGGCACGTCCACCAGCAAAGAGTCGACACAGGACCTCCTCGTCTCCTATGCAGACACGAATTTCGCAGAGGACATAATGGACAGAAAGTTCATCTCAGGGACCCTACACACCTACAACGGAACACCAATCTGTTGGGGATCCCTCAAGCAAAACATCACTGCTCTGTCCACCTGCGAGGCTGAGTACATAGCGGTAACAGCAGCCGCTCAACAAACAACATGGATCCGACGCATGCTCAAGGACATCCACATGCTGTCGACCAAGCCGACACCCCTGAGGATTGACAATCAGTCAGCAATCCACGTCGCGAACAGCACAGGACCGACAAAGCGGCGAAAATTCATAGACTTGCGACACCACTATCTGACGCACCAGTCACAAAAGGGAACAATCACCCTCGCTCATGTCCCCACCGACGAGCAACTGGCAGACATCCTCACAAAACCCCTCCGGCGCCAAGCATACACGCGCCTCCTACCCAAGCTGCAACTCACAATCCAGCAGACTGCAGACGCCAAGACTGCTCCGCCGTCGACAGGGGGAGTGTCATGAGAGCCATAAAAACAAGTGTCGACGCCGCACCAGCATGCCGCCGCAGTCATGAGAGCCATACGTGCACATGTAGCACACGCATGACAGCGCAATTAGATCATCTTTATTCACCGCCGTCTCACTGATCCCTCCTATTCCCTTATAAGGTAGAGACTTGATAGGCATCAGTAAACGGACGGCATCGATCTTGCACCACATTGCCAGCACGAAGGAGGTGGGGCAGAAAGGAGGAGGGGAACGGCAGCGAAACAGTGTCTGCACGTCGTGAAGAGTACATAGAAGGCCAAGTTTATGGTAAACTTGAATTTTATGGTCTCGTTTGCCTTTTTTCTTCTCACACGTGTGCACGTGTGCGACCTGTGCACGTGTATCAATATCCTCTCAACTTTGAGACTCGCGGCCCTGCCTTGAGCCGGTCGACAACGCTTGCTCTAATCAACACACCCTTGATTTCACCAATACAACTACCTCTACATCTTTTCTTGCACGCGACTGACGCATCTGATGGCCAGGTGCCTGCACATTATTGCTCAAGATATTATAGTGAGCACAAGAGTTCATTTGACTGCTGAGAGACAGCGATATCCCTTCACTCGTCAGTTAACCTCCATGTTGAATCCGTGGGCACCAAACCCACGTGGGTCATTGGGTCACAATATCTTCTGCGTGCCGGGAGGGAGCGAGGTGGCGCCTCTGTCGCTTCTGTCTGAATACTTGACGTTGCTGTGATTGTTTCTCAGTCGTCCGTCTGCGTAGAGGACAGGCCTTTGCCATGGAACACTTATTACACGTCAAGTCTGCTTGCATCCCTCTAGAGTTGTTTACTGAGTGTTGAAAGGGAAGCAGGTCGATACTTCATACTGACGCATACATGGACTGCAACATCCATCAAGCAAGCTCCTCACGCATTCATAACGAAACAAAAAACCCTCCCCACTACAGTACCACCGCGCACAGTTGCAACGCAGTACTAATGTCCCGGGCACCAAGCGTCTATCGCTTTCCGAATTTACACCATTAGCTTCATGATAGCAACCAGATGACCCACCCTTGCTACTGCGACCCCGTGATCGTGGTCTATCTGCAAGTCTCCTGGATTGTCCAACTGTGCAAGACAGCCTCAGACCCATCCTCTCGCCTTTGCACAATTCCTCCCTTCCTTGAAATTATTTGTGCTGCTCGTCCTGCGCGAGAAGCAGTACCCATGTCTTCCGTCCTCAGGAAACCGACTCTTGATTTCCCCGAAATCCTCTACCCTCCCGATATAAAGTGTGATCCCTCTCTCCACGTCCCACACCCTCACACTCTTGTCATACGATCCAGATACCACACGTCTTCCGTCCCTACTACTCGCCGTAGGTTGTGGGCAAAAAGACGGTCAAAAAGTCTGTCTTGGTGTGAACAAACGGGAAAGCTGAGGTCTCTTGTATTGTCGTGGTTGTTCTCTGAACTTTGACTTGAACCTCTTACCCGGCATACTTATAGTACTATAGCAGCTTTTCAAAACCTACCAAACACACAAGCTACTTCCCTAGGTATGATGTAGAAAGCACGGTAGGAGAAGCACAAATCCTACACATAGAAAACGCGTGAGATGGTGAGTTGTCTCACTATCTCTTCAAACAGGCAGGCTCTGCAGCAAAGAGGATTGTTCCTAGCTCAGCCGATGTTTCGTTTCGGGTGAATGTGGACAGTTGTATAAATGCAAACAAAAAAAGGGTCGATGAACAGATGTGGAGAGACTGGGTGCGATCCGATAGTCACCGCCCCTCGCTTCGGGATGACCGGGATCACAACTCCGATACGGTGCCCCCTTGTCCTCGTGCATATGGCAAGCCAGTCACACGCAGGCGTGAACGGGGAAGGCGTGGGCACCGAAGCAGCGAGACGACGACGTACCCTCGACCTCATGGCTGTTGTCATGAGCCCTCCTTCCAGTGCGACGTGCATGTGAGGTGCGGCATGATGAGGGCAGCAAAAAAAGGAGGTGGGTGATGCTCTCGGGGCGGCAAACGGCGGGACGGGGACTGCGAGAGGTGTGCACAGCTGGGCGCCGTAACTTTCTCGGCGGATAGGTACAAGCCCGTTTGATATGCAACGGGCAACGGGGTGGACGAGGGGGGACAGTTAGAATCGGAGTTCAGTTGCATCTGGGGGCCATCCTGTCTCGCCTTGTCCAATCATGTTGCAGGAAACGGGGAATGAACAAATGAGGTTGACGCTGCCAGAAACCGGCGCTTGAACGAGACGCTATTGGACGACCGCTGGTTGTACAGTTGAAATGTGGCAATAAACACTCTGTATGGCACTTTCGGAAAGCCTACTAACAGCGACAAGTGTTTCGTGAGAAACATATTTTCTAGGCTTGAAGCCCCTATGATACCATGTGATAAAGAAAAAGAAAAGGCTTGAAGCAACTTGCTCGGATTTCATGCGCCGCAAACTACGATCGCAGTCGAGAGAAGAGTCGAGAACGATCGATAATCGAGGGCGATATCGCCACTAGCGGAAAAAATGTGGGTATTTCGAAATATTTTGCTTTTTCATAAACGACAACAGTGCGGAGTCACGAAGAGTAATGATTATGCGTTCAAAAGTAATTGAAATTGTACCTCCACGGATAACAGTGGCTATCCTTTCGGGCGATTTAATCGCTCGGCTAAAAGCTAACGGTAAGCGCCTCTGGGCCTAGAATCATTACAGTAGGTGATACAGCTTAAGTTCTAAAGGTTCATGCAAGGACAAGGGACAGGGGATGTGAATCTATGCTACATTATTACGGCAAGACCGACCTTGAAGACCGACCTTGAAGGGGAGTGCATTCGACTTCTCAATCTGACAGGCAAGAGCAAGTCAGAAAGCAGACTCACAATGCTTCTGCCATGCAATAATTGCACTCTCTTCTACAGTTAATTGAACAGGAGACCAAACTTCATGATCGGCTTGCATTGCTGTTGTAAACTTGTATACCCTTCTGGCAGGGTCAAGTTTGGACATGTAAGCCGTTCTTTACATGTTGGATGCAAGAACCCCACAACCAGGCCATAAACGGCTCTCAGCCAATCACATCACTGTGGAGTTCAGTCTCAGAGCCTCTCAATGGCTTCCAACAACTGCTAAGAGGCATTACGTAGCCACAAATTATCCACATCGACTGAGCAGTAGAAAAAAAGTGGTTTAATTTTGGACACATCCTTTTGATTACTTCATGACCGTTTGCAGCACCCCGATGATGATGCTATGGACAATCCTTGCACCTGTCATTGATCTTCGGCTTCTAGGTCTGTGCTGCGCCCTACTCAGCGACAACAAAGCAGCAGAGGCCACTTTCATCTCAGCTTTGTGCTTTTGTTTGCGCTGTCTTGCCGCCGCGAGGTCGTTCCTTCTCTGGTCTCTCACCACAGGCGCATGGGCCCGATGTGCAGCCTTGGCCGCCTTTTGCTTTTCTCTCTCCATTTTCTCCTCAAACTTTTGACGCGCTTTGTCACGGCGGTATTTGATGAGCTGACCAACCGTCAAACAGGTTGCGGGAGCTCCGCACCCTAAAGCGATCCGTTTGGTCCCACATCCAGCGCCCGTTATGACCTCAGGCTTTCCAACCTCGGACAATATTTGACTTACTGTTCTCGCATCTGCCAGGCGTTCTTCAATCTTTTGTATGGCGCGTGTTTTGTCTCGCTCTTGCTCCAGTATGTGGATCAAGTCTGCATATGTTTCTGTATCCGTTTTTCGCTTTTTAACGCTGGTGATGCAAGAATCAGGTCCACATTTCTCCATGCCACGCTTGAAGTTTATAGCTTTCTCTTTGTTGCTGTGACTCTTATCCTTGAATCGATCTGGAAACGCTGCATTGAAAGGAAATATCCCTGTCTCACGGAATGACTTGCGAATGTCATCTATGGTAATTTTCCCATGCCCGATAACTGCGCACATCAGTTTCAATTGAACCGTCTTGGTATCGCATACCATCTTACAACAGAGCTGGTCTCTTGCAGTGCGTATGGATCTCTTGAATGAATTGTTAATGGCTTGATCGCATGGCTGTAGGAAATGAGACGTATTGGCAGGAGCCTGCAAAACTTCGATATTGTACTTCTGGCATAATTCCAACCACAAAACCCCCCCACGAGAGCTATGTCCATCAAGGGTTAGAACAATAGGCACGTCCTGTGGAACCACAGTTCTGAAAAATCTATTGAAATGCTCAATGAAATTATGTATGTTCTGCTGCTCACTTGATCCATTTTCACTGCACTGTATTACCCCATCTCGCGGAAACCACTCCTCTTTTGTCAAAAACGTGAGGTCGCTACGCGTAAGCTCTGTTAGGCATCGTTTGGATGGTATAGTAATGGGCTCCAGCCACTGAGCCATAACTCTCTTTCCAGCAATGAAAAAAAATGGTGGAGCTTTGCGGCCTGAAGCAGATGCTACTATCAAAGAGGTTACATGTTTTCCGTCGCCAGAGGATGACTTAGAGATAAACGAGCCGCCGTGATTAGACCTACTGTCAGCATAGCTCTTTGTCTTCCGACCAAATGCAGTCTCAACTGCGGTCCTAGCATGACCAGAGCACAGGTGAACTAAACCGAACCAAGACCTCTTTACCCCGAACCGTCTCTCCCTCCTCTGATCTGCGCGAACCAACAACCCGAACCACTATCTTACCCTTTGGTGCTGTAACCCCCCAATCTTTCTTTGCAAGTGCCTTGGATTTGCTTTTATCCGATGCTGAGATAATGCTGTGCTTAGGCCCTGGCCTCTATAAAGCGACGCGAGGGAGTTCAGCTTAAGTGCACTGCTAAAGGTTCATGCAAGGACAAAGGACAGGGGATGTGAATCTATGCCACATTATTTGCACAGAAAGCACGGCAAGACCGACCTTGAAGGGGAGTGCATTCGACTTCTCAATCTGACAGGCAAGAGCAAGTCAGAAAGCAGACTCACAATGCTTCTGCCATGCAATAATTGCACTCTCTTCTACAGTTAATTGAAGACCAAACTTCATGATCGGCTTGCATTGCTGTTGTACACTTGTATAGCTGTACAACTGTGCAACTCATGATTGATACACACGCCGACGGAACGAAGCAACCCTGTCCACCTACCTGTACATCCTCTTCAACCGCGGCCACGCCTGTCGCCCACCCCGCCCGTCGCTGTCAAACCCGCCGTCGTTCTTGCGACACGTGCACTAGGCCCCCCCTTGTCCATCAGCCGCACGTCGTCTGCACACTTGAGTCGAGCCAGTACATTGGGCGCCAAGGTCCCTCCGTGCTCGGCGCGATCATGCCTGCGACATCCGTGAACGTCGCCGTTGGGGAGGCCGCGAGCACAAAAGCGCACCTGAGAAACGCACATGTCCTTTCAATTCCCATCCTTTCAATTCCCAGCTAACCTCCACCCCGAATCCGTGCGCACCGTGCGTGCACACCTGGCTCAATGCATCACAATACCTTCAGCTGCCAGCCTACGGCGTGGCATCTCTGTCGCTTCTGTCCGACGCTCGATGCCGCCGTGAACGTTTCTTAGTCCCCTGTCTGCGTGGAGGATCAGCCATCGCCATGACACTTAATACACGCTTAATACACGACAGGTCCGCTCGCATCCCTACACTTGTCTACTGAGTGATGAAGGGAAGCACGTCGCTAGTTCATACTGTACATAGACATCCAGGCACTGCAACGTCCGTCAATCAACTTCTCACGCATTCACTCACAACACAAAAAGACCCCCCCCCCCACTACCACCGCGCACAGTTGCGACGCAGTACTAATGTCTCGGGCGCCAAGCGTCCATCGCTTTCCGCGATTTACACCACTAGCTTCATGATAGCAACCAGATGACCCAACCGTCCGACTACGACCCCATGATCGTGGTCTATTTGCAAGTCTTTTGGACCGTCCAACTGGGCCAAAACAGCCTCAGACCCATCCTCTCGCCTTTGAATAATTCCTCCCTTCTTTGAAAATATTTGTGATCTTCGTCCGGCGTGAGGAGCAGTACCCAAGTCTGGCGTCGTCAGGAACCGACTCTCGATTTCTCCCAAATCCTCTACCCTCCCGGTGTAAAGTGTGATCCCTCTCTCTACGTCCCACACCCGCACGCTCTTGTCATCCGATCCAGATACCACACGTCTTCCGTCCTCACTCATCGCAACGCAAAGCAAACTATCCGTGTGTCCAACTAACGCGTCCCCGACTTGTGCTCCCGTCTCCACGTCCCACACACGCACGCTCGTGTCCAACGATCCAGATACCACACGTCTTCCGTCCCCACTCATCGCAACGCTAACCACTGCAAGCGTGTGTCCAATTAACGCGTCCCCGACTCGTTCTCCCGTCTCCACGTCCCACACCCGCACGCTCGTGTCGCACGATCCAGATACCACACGTCTTCCGTCCCCACTCATCGCAACGCTATACACATAACCCGTGTGTCCAACTAACGCCTCCCCAACTTGTGCTCCCGTCTCCACGTCCCACACCCGCACGCTCATGTCCTCCGATCCAGATACCACACGTCTTCCGTCCCCACTCATCGCAACGCTATTCACTTCCCTCGTGTGTCCAACTAACGCCTCCCCGACTTGTGCTCCTGTCTCCACGTCCCACACCCGCACGCTCTTGTCAAACGATCCAGATGCCACACGTCTTCCGTCCCCACTCATCGCAACTCTCTGCACAGGACTCATGTGTCCAACTAACGCCTCCCCGACTTGTGCTCCCGTCTCCACGTCCCACACCCGCACGCTCTTGTCAAACGATCCAGATGCCACACGTCTTCCGTCCCCACTCATCGCCACGCTACGCACCCAATCCGTGTGTCCAACTAACGCCTCCCCGACTTGTGCTCCCGTCTCCACGTCCCACACCCGCACGCTATTGTCGCACGATCCAGATACCACACGTCTTCCGTCCTCACTCATCGCAACGCAAAGCACAAAATCCGTGTGTCCAACTAACGCCTCCCCGACTTGTGCTCCCGTCTCCACGTCCCACAACCGCACGCTCTCGTCGCACGATCCAGATACCACACGTCTTCCGTCCTCACTCATCGCAACGCTATACACCCAATCCGTGTGTCCAACTAACGCCTCCCCGACTTGTGCTCCCGTCTCCACGTCCCACACTCGCACGCTCTTGTCCTTCGATCCAGATGCCACACGTTTTCCGTCCCCACTCATCGCAACGCAACGCACCTCCGACCTATGACCGTGGAAACTTCTCAATACTTTCTTCTCCGACGTACTCCACAGCCTTAACGTCCCGTCTTCATATCCCACAACAACATACCCCTTCCTCTCACAGAAAGTTGCGCAGCTAGCTCTCGTCACGCTCCGTTTTTTTCCAATCACTTCGGAGGTTACACTTCTTGCTTCAACGTCCCCTGGACTCTGGCTCTCCGTTTCGAACTCGCCTTGTAATCGAACCATCTTCGTCTCCTTCTCAGCAGATTGCCTGAAAACTGTTACTTCTGCCCCGGAGAACTCCACCTGACATCCATACACTTCACCACTGGAATCCATGCCCACTTGAATTACACCTTTCGCATATGGCAGAACGATCTGCTCCACCAACCTTCCATCGGCTCGCTCTACACACTCACCCACAGGCCGCACCCACGGCCGTGGTGCGTGTCTCTCGATTTCCTTCAGCATCCTTTGCACACAACCTGAATCCTGTGCCCTGTGCTTGATTCTTCCGTACAGTTGAAAGTAAATCCCTGCACTGCCTTCACCGCGAAAAGGTACACTCAGTCGTGCAGCTCTCATCATCAATTCCATCGCATACACCGAATCTTCTTCTCCCGTATCCCTTAAAAGGCTCTCGCTTCCTCCCGTGTTCCTCAACAAGATATTTAGATCCTTTACAGCTTCCTCGTATTGCCACACACTTCCTCTCTGTATCACTGTCTTCACCCATCGCGCTTTCAAAAATAGATTCTTCAGCTCCTCCACACACCCGCCCTGTCTCAGAACGCGATATATGTTCTCGAAAACATACTTCTCTCTTGCATCCTTGCTCTCTCTGCCCTCGCTCTCAGTTATAGCAAGCAGTCCTCTTCCCTGCCTGCATACACCTGCCAACTTCTTATACCAGAACGTTACACTTTCTTCCTTCTGCGCCTCCTGCACCGCAAAATCGTGCGTCAGATCATGCACCCGCAACCCACCACAGCCCTTCTTATACTGCAGTTCCACTAATCCAACCCTTTCCATCTCCTTTGCATACCATTCCGTCTTCACCTCGTCCAGCTCCCACAAATCTCCTACCAAACTCAAAGGTATCCGGTCTTGCTTCTTCATAACGCACAGACTCCGGTGTATCTTTCGAAACGAAATATCACCAACCGCCTCCCCACTCCTTCCCACATCCGACTCCAGGATATCCAGTGACGTACGCAATGCCCCATCCAACGACGAGTATCCGTCCTTCGGACTCTCCCTGCGAATCGTGTTACGCCTCTTCATCTTCGAAAGGTAATCCCCCCATGCTTCTGATACTTCTTCCTCCCATCTTTCCCTCATGTACCTCACACTCGTTCCCGCCACGTTCAGGGCAAGCGGCAATCCGCCACACATTCCCAGTATTTCACTCACGGCCTCCTTGCATCTCGCATCTTCCACTTCCCCTCGATTCGCCCCACTCGCGTGCACAAGCATGTCAACTGCTTCTTTCCCTTCTGTCTCTCTCGGCTCGAAAGCGATCCGCTCCCCAAGCTGACGCAGCCCCCTATCCCTCGTGGAGTACATTAGTCTGCTCCTCCTTTCCCCGCTGCCCCCCGCAGTGTCAGCGAGAACAGACAACTTTTGAAGGATATTCGCCTCTATATCATTCACCACCCACACATCATCAATGATGAACAGACACACATGACTACAAAACCACGCTTGTACCTTCGCTAACACCCTTCTAAAATCGCTCTCCTCTCGCATTTTCGCAGCAGTCTGGTTGCCACCGGACGCTTCCACAATCAGGCACAGTTCTTCAATCAGCCCTCCCACGTTTCCGTCTTTCCCCAATGACATGAAGTACACTCCTCCCGAAAACTCCGCCTTAATCTCAACATCATGCGCAATCGCTCGTAGGGCACATGTCTTCCCGACTCCACCCTGTCCCACTGCTGTCGCACCCACTTGCTCGTTCCTATCTCTCCGTAGCACAGCCGCTTTCAGACGCGACTCACACGTGTTCGGCAATCCATCGTTCCCCCGAGAATCAAGCGTCATACATATCGACACAACATTATGTTCGGCTCTTATCGACGGCCTGAACACATCACCCCTTCCTCCCCTGATCGACTCGACGGTCGCGCCTACTTGTTGAACACCATCGTGAAGGCGGTCGGCTTCTTGCTCATCACTTTTCTTTTTCACCCACCGAGATACTCGTTTCACAAGATGTTCCCTTGCATCATGGCCGAATTCATCTTCCAGCAGGTTCGTCGCCCTTTCGTCATTTTCAATCCCAGTGATACCTGCCAGCTCTTGTAGCTCTCTCTTCACAGTAGCCGTGCTCGCTTCGAGCTGTCGTTCCACGCTAAAAAACTTCTCAACTTGAAAAAGATTCTTTCCTTCATCATCCCGGTACCGATTGGGATCCAACTCTCTGCATTCACGGATACTTAGTCTGTAAAACACCGGAATTAATGTCGGTGGCCGCATTCCACTGCTTATCGCTTCTTTTCGTCGGTGCAGGAAGCAACGCAGTTCCCTCATCGTCCATTTTCGAGCCGCAAACTCGGGAGAAAGTATGAAAACACCGACCTTCGCAGACTCCATAGCTTGAGTCATTTCATCCTCTCCGCAGTCTCCGGGCTCCATCGAGGTTTTGTCGAGGAAGCAATTTAAACCATGAGCTTGCAATTTCTCGGAAAGGGGACGTGCGATGAGTAGCTTGTCCGGGCCAGCATGGCTTATGAACACATCGGGAGACTGTATCTTTCGCCGTTTTCTACTTGATCCCGCCTCTTGCTGGAAGCTTTCCTGCATTTTTTTGTGAATAGCTGAAGACAAGTTGGTGAGGTGCGGATTGTGTTAGGAGTGTGTTATGCGTGAGAACGGCAGCGGCTGTTAGAAAAACAGGGACGCGAAGGTTGAAGGCCGCGTTCAGCGCGCGGCACTCTTGTCGTTGTCGACGAAAGCGGAAACAGTGGCGACGGTCGTGTGCGTGCGTGTGGGTAGGGTGAGCTGATGTGCTTTGGCTTGTTCTTTCGTGAATGAATGTTCGTGTGATTCCAGCGAGGAAAGACGCACTAATCGTAAAGCATGAAAAGAATCATGAAACGTTGATTTACGTACTGTTGTTGTTCGGTCGAAGGGGGTTGGTGGTGTTTTCTGGGAAAGTGGGGTGTTGAGTCTCGCCGTAGAGTCCGGTGTGTCCGATCTGTCGACACTCGGCCACCTTCCACGCTTTGATTTCCTCCCCATCCCTTCTAGAAGCATCCACGCATCCGGCCCGGATTTCCCAGACAGTCTGCGCGCGCTTCCCTAAAATTCATATAAAATCTCCCACTACAGTATAACATCTCCCACTACAGTACTGCAAAATGTAATTTTGCACTAAAATTCCCTCACAACTGTGTTGACGTCACACCAAACCAACTTGGAGGAAAGCATAACGTTTACACAGCCATGTTGAGCGCAGGCTCTTGTCTGTAATTTGGCTGTAATTTGGAGAAAGCCAACAGTCCAATGAAATGGCTCTATGACCTCCACCATCGCTCGATGTTTGGCTGATGATGATTTAGGGTACGTACCATTGTAGAATTAATGATTAATCACTATTCTACCGACGACGGCGCAGCGGAGCGGCGCGCACCAGAGTTTGCTCTAGTTGACATAAAGTGGGGTGACCGGGTCACTGTAGACGCGACGAGACCCGAGGGAGGAGGAGACAATTCCCCGGATATCCCTGCTTGCCTTTTATTGCTCTGGTTGACATAAAATTGGGGTAACCGGGTTACTGTAAACCCCCGATCGAGACACCACACGTCTTCCTTCTCCCCTCATCGCAACGCAACCCACTACAGTACCGACCTATGACCGTGGAAACTTCTCAATACTTTCCTCTCCGACGTACTCCACAGCTTCAACGTCCCGTCTTCACATCCCAAAACAACGCACCCCTTGCTCTCACAGAAAGTTGCGCATGTAGCTCTCGTCACACTCGGGTTTCTGCAGTCACTTCGGAGGTTGCCCTTCTTGCTTCAAGGTCCCCTGCGCTCTGGCTCTCCGTTTCTAACTCGCCTCCTAATCGAACCGTCTTCGTCACCTTCTCAGCACATTGCGTGAAAACTGTTACTTTTGCCCCGGACGACCTCAACTGACATCCATACACTTCACCGCTGGAATCCATGTCCACTTAAATTTCACTACTCGCATATGGCAGAACAATCTGCTCCACCAACCTTCCATCGGCTCGCGCTACACACTCACTCACAGGCTGCACCCACGGCCGTGGTGCGTATCTCTCGATTTCCTCCAGCATCTTTCGTACAAAACCTGAATCCCGTGCCTTGTGCTTCACTCACCCATACAGCTGAAAGTAAATCCCGGCACTGTTTTCACCACATAATCGTACACTCAGTCGCGCAGCCCGCATCATTAAAATCATTGCATCCACTGCGTCCTCATCGACCCGTCCCCTTCCCGCCTTCCCGCTTCCTCTTTTCCTGTTCAAGTCTCTACTCAATCTCTTTGAAGCTTCTTCGTATTGCCAAACCCCGCCTCTCCTCTCTGTACTACTGTCTTCACCCATCGCGCACTCAAAAATAGTCTCTTCAGCTCGTCTATACACCCACCCTGTCTCAGAACACGGTATATGTTTCTCGAAAACGTACTCCTCCTGCGCTCTCGCCCTCTCCCAGAACATACTGGATCGATGTGAGTGGCTTGTGCACTGAAAGGTATGCCCATAACCCAGGTGTCATACAAGTAGCATGCGTGCGGGAGCACAGCGCGCATCAGGGTGCGATTCACGGTCGCATTACTCAAAACCAGTGCACATCACCGGAAGGCGGGGGAGGCGGGGGACGGTCAAGTTCTGCATCGTTCGTGATGCATTCAGTTTCAAGAACAGTACGGTAGGTACAAGGTCAAGCGGACTTCAATGTAGGCCACCAGGTTTGAAATGGACATGAGATTACCCGAAAACCGCAGCTATCATTCCACTCTGAGAAATTTGTCTCTCCGTATCTCTGGGCCTTAAAAGCATACCTCTCTATCGATTTGGAGGATGGTTGAGAGTTGTGACGTGCGCAGTTGGTATCTGGACATGCTGGACAATGGACAATGTGCAATCGTGGACAAAAGCGCATCGTGTCTCGGACAAGAGCAGAAACATTGTACGGCACACTTTGTCACTCCACTGTGAAGTGCCGCACGAAAACGCCCAACCGTGGCGACCGTGTTAACTGTTGCATATAGCTACACCCAAACATCGCAATTAGTCTGGGCTAGACTATAAAAAGTCAAGGATATATTTTCACCCTCACACGTAATAATGCGGACTGCACTAATATGTGTACCCGCACTATATGCATCACAACCTAAGATAGAGTAGACCAGACTAATTTTCAATTAACATATTAGTGGAGACTACACTATTTTGATAAACACGCTATTGTCCAATCATAACCAGTCCATGTTAGCATATCGACACATTTTACTCATCATCAACATCAACAACGGGAGCGCCATCGAAGTAATTTCTATACTTCTGCACTATCTCTTGCAATTTTGGAAACAGCTGGGATTCTTCCCATTGTCCGTTGATATTACAAGCAAGACCGGTGCGGATCATAGCCTTTCGGGCGTACCTCACTCCATCTGCATCACGAATTGCATTTACGTCCCTCACAACGGCTGCGGCCAAAGTCAAATAGTAATGTTTTCCCGGGTTAGGAATTTTCCCGGAAGCCGCCGCGAACCCATTTCGCATAATTACGTCCATCTTATATCTATCCCATCGTCCACGCCATGCGTCCTTTAATTTTTGGATGACAAAGGAATCTGCCGGCTGAATCAAATCTGTGGCGTTAGGCGGAAAAAAGCGTAGTTCCGTGTTACACGCTTGCAACGCCTGCTCCAAATTTTCCGACATCCCATGCCCCCCACAATTGTCAACAAACAAAATACGTTTCCGCCCATGCGGCAAACATTTGAAAACCTTGCTCTCTGCCAAATATTGCGGAAAAACCGTCTTGTCCATCCACCCTTTCGGGCCTGAACGATACGATACCCCTTGCACATTGTCTGGGACCCCCTGTATCGGATAACTTCTATTGGTATTCTGAAAAACCATAAATGGCGCTTCAATAACAGCATCCCTTCCACCAGAGATCCTAACCATCATCGTCATTCCCTCAGACCCCGAAACCACGTCCGAATACTTCACTTCAGCTTCGCCACATTTTCCCAATGTCCTGTGATTATCCAAATTAATCAGAAAGTGCGTTTCGTCCGCATTACACACGTCATTTTCGTCCATTGCTCCAGAACGAAATGCACGAGCAACCATCCCAAGGTGGTACGCCACCTCCCTCTCAATATGGGATTGTTTGGCCGGCGATACCATGAGCTTCCCAGTTTGGGCCCTACTGACGATTTGGAAACGGTTCATGAATGCCTGTATCCAGCGGGGCGATATTAATTCAATAATTAATTTGTTCGATTTTAAATCTTTCAGATTGGCATGATACACCGCATTACGAGATTCACGGACCAGGTGAATTGCCAAATGACGGAGAAGTTTTGCGTTGAACTTCAGGCCGGACTTCCTCAGACGCTCAAACTCCTCGAGTAAGTCTGTATGCATTCCAATTACCCAACCCGCCCGTTTCCTTCCTCGACCGGCACAGGCCTTGATGTAGACACGTTTCATGCCCGCGCGCGTGACGCGCGTAATCGAAAAGGGTATTCCGCGGTTGTTTGTCCCTCTTTGGTACTTCATCAGGGCTTCCCGGGTTTTCCACAGCCTACTCGCTTTTCCATTGTTCGCTTTCTCTGATCCCCGAAAAAGTGCTGGGAAGTTGCGAACAGCTCGGGATGCCATGTGTTTGTCACCGTCTGTACGCGACGCTTCCACCATCCACGTTACGATCTTGACACGCTGTGAATGAGTAAGCACATTCTGAAGTGCCCGCTTCTGCGGTTTTTTGAGCTGAGGGGGTAGGGAAAGTGAATCTGATGGCGTGTCCAAGGGAGGTGTGGGGGAAGGATGCACCGTTGTACTGCTGTGGTGCGGTTCTGTCCGGGAGGGGGGCAGATGGGAGGTGTTCGATGAGGCAGTTGCCACTGCTCGCTGCAGGGAGCGCACGATGGGGGAGGCCGAATACATTTCGGTGCGCCTCACTGAGAGATTTGGTGAATGCATGGGGAGGAATTCCATATCTTGGTGTTAAAGCTCCTTTTATAGAGGTTTCTGGCAGCCGAACTGGACGGGAAAAACGTACTGGGTGGCTTTAAAGGCGGGGTGATGGTGTTACAATTTCCCGCGCATTGCGCTTCCCGCCTAATAATTGCAGTAGTTACCGTCGGGCGCGCATTCCGGTGCGCGAGAGTCTGTTTGCTCTATGCCTTTCCTGTCTTTTTGGCGCATCCAGACTAATATGTGTGTAATATCAAATAGTATAGTCCACAGTAATTTTGTTTACGAGCAAGGACAGCTCGCAGAAGTTAGTATGGTCTACGCTAATATGTGTATCCACACTAATTTTCCACCCAGACTAATTGCGATGTTTGGTGTACTGCATACGCATTTCCTGATACATGTGGTACAGTACAGTGAACCCTCGATATCTGAATATGGATGGTTGCTTCCTTCCGCATTCAATTAAAGTGCATATTCAGTTTCCAAGGATGTTTCATATACAGCCCAAATATGTAACAATCCCATAAGTTTTAACCAAAATATTGAGTAATGCGGATCTGCTTGGCTTGGTTTGCGCGTTCGAGGTGTGTCCATTTTCGATTGCCCAGGAAAACTGGAA